ATATTATTTTTGTTGTATTTTATTTTTTATTTTATTTTATTTGGGATTATTTTTTTGTTGTCTCATATCTCTATCTCAATAATATATTCCAACTTTAATAGTTTTTATTATTATTTTTTTATAAACTTCGTTAATAAATACAAAATACACTAGTTAAAGGAAATTAACGCATTAAATTTTGAATGTATTTATTTTATTTGAATTCAGTTTATTTTATTTTGTATTACATTTTTAGTTTCATTTTTTATTTTCCTTTTATAATTTTATTGTATTTCATTATATTTTGTTTTTATGTATTTTACCATATTTTTTTAAATTTGCATGTGTAAACTTACCTTTTTTGGCCGTCTTCTTGCTGGTACCCAATTGACCAGTGACATCCTGCAGCCGCCTCTCCAATTCCTGCTTCTTCTCCGCCATTTGCTCATCTTTAGATTTGCCAGATAGTTTTTTATCTGCGCGCGTGCGCAATAATTATAAAGAGAGAAAGGGTGAAAAAGAGAGAATTTTATGAATGAACCTTTAAATAGGAAATAGACATTTTTCACATAAAAAATATTTCATGGTTTTGTTAGTTTACTGCACTGAGACTATTTTATTATTATTAAATTGATATTATGCTGCTATTGTACATTTCTATAGACAAAAAACAATTATTCTTTAAATAATTCTAAAATTTACTCAATACTGAAAAATGTAGTACAAAATTAGGCGAATATTTTTTTAGTTAAAAAAATTCAAATTTGTACCGCGCACATTTTGTTAGTTGCCAAATCGACGAAAGAAAAATATATATCTGTAGATCGGTATATGCTGTGTAGGTGACACTACTTTTTGGCATAGAAAATGAAATTAAAAACATGCGAAACTTATTTTGACAATACAAAAGACAGCGTCTTTAAAAATTTAACAAAGTTTTTTAAAAATCCAAATTTTTTTCATTTGAAAGCAAAAAAAAATTTAATAATTTAAAATGTAATATAATTTTTTTTCATTTGAAAGCAATTAAAAAAACAAAATATTTTAAAAGAAACAAAAATCAATCCTATGGAAATAGCCAACCTAAAATGCACATAATTACTACGGAAGCAACTTTTTCTCATAAGTCATGCAGTCAATTCAATATCATGTTTTAATTCGTAAAATCATATAAATTCGAACGTCTAAATACAAAAAATTTAAGCCAAAATTATTTTAATTACAGAAACCGGCTGTGCCTATAAACAAATTGAAAATAAAGAGCAAAACAACCGATTCAGACAGAACATAAAACGGTATAACAAAGCGTAACTACATACAATTGCAACAAAACAAACGATAAGCGTTTATGGCAGCCACAACCTAAAGATAAAGCCAGGTTTTGATTAGTGCAAAGCTTTAGTAATTGTTGTTGTAAGTAAATATTATAAAACAATCGATTTTAATTTTTGCTTTAGTTAAACTTTTGTTGTTGTTTAGTTCATCCAATTAACACAGTCACTACTATATAATATTGAATTATTCACTGGATTTTCATTTCATTCTTTTCGCTTAATTCTTAATGTGTTACGCAACACATGTATGCTTCATTAACTTAAACACAGATACTTTTGCATTGCTTGCTCGTTTTCACATTTGAAAATTGAACATTTTATAGTAGGAAAATTGTATATTAATCACACATACAAAAAAATCATTTATGTGGGTGAGAAACACAACAACGCAAAAAAAAAGTTTTTTCGGAAAATAATTATAATAAAACTTATTATATTCAATCTCGTTAGCAATATAAAAATTAATAAATCTGTTTCTATGAAAATAGTGCCAATTGCTCAGCTTTTACACATTCACTCTGCTGCCCGTAAATACTGGCCCTAACCAAGCACGCTATACATAAAAAAATATATGTTGTTTTTTTTAGTACAAAATGAAATAAATAAAAATTTTAAAAATAATTTTTGAATACA